TTATAGCAGCACTATTCACACCAGCAAGAAGTGGAAGCAACTCGCTAGTTCACCCCCGATGAAGGGGCTCACATACAACAGAATATTAACCAGCCCCAAAAGGAAGGCAATGGACATGCTACAGGGTGGATGAATCTCAAAGGTGTTCTGCTACGTCAAATAAACCAGGCACAAAAGAGAATCCACTGACGTATGTAGAGTAGTCAAATTCATAAAGACAGACAGCAGAGAGAGGCTGGGGATTTAGCTCAGCGGCAAAGGCGCCTGCCTGGCAAGCGCAAGGTCGTGAGTTTGGTTCCTGGTACTGGAGGAAAACCAAAAAAAAAAAGACAGACAGCAGAATAAGTGCTGCTGGGGCAGAATAGGGAGTTGTTTTGTAGTGGGTACAGAGTTTGAGTTTTGCAAGATGACAAAGTTCTAAGGTAAATCATATAGCAATGTGAACATACTTAACACTACTTAGGATGATAAAAACATTTGAACCAAACCTAACTGTAACTTGCACTTAAATGTGTGTTCCTGTTATTTAATAGACTAATTAATAACGAAGCATAGAAAAATGACTACAAAAATGCTTAAAGTTTTTAAAATTCCCAGGCACAGTTTATCTGTGGGATAATAACATTTCCAGATTTCCTGGGATAATTTGTGTATGTTCAAGTGAATACAATCTATCCCCCCGACACAGAGTACACACTGCCTGCACTTTCAGATGCATTGAAAGCGTCCCATAGCAGCACACAGTGCCCTCCATCATCATGCCCGGGGGTATAGCTCAGTGGGAGAGCGTTTGACTGCACCATTCTCACGCCTGTGTGATGTCTTGTGGTTTCTACGGACCACGTGTATACAGGTGTCAGAGCTCCTGTTTCCCCACCCCTCAGGGTATGTTTGTTTCTTAGTGCGTTGAAGGAAGGAAGAAATGGGGACCGACAGAGGAGAAAGTGTTATCTAAAACTGTCTCCTGTGCATCATTGCACCTGAGTGCTTAGAAAGTGCCTAGCAAATACGGCCTGACCTTTTGATAGGGCACAACCGGGCCAATGACAGGTCTTTCCAGAGGTGGCAACACACCCCAATACACACCATCCTCATTTAATTGGCTTTCCCCTTGGTTCCAAAGAGCACGCCCAACTCTGATTGACCTGCTCAGGGTGGTAACCGGAAAGTTAAACAAAGCTGGTTTTCCTGAAGACTGACAAATTGTTCTTTAGCCAAACAGGCTAACTCAGAGTCGGTCTCAGAGTCCCCTTATGCAGGTACTGGTTCACAAAGCAAGTGGCATAATCGATAAGCAGTGCCCCCGAGATCCCAAACACTGCAGCACTTTCCACTGACCTCTTAGAACACCTCGACTGCACCACACACACCACGTCACACCACACCTCATGGGAAAGAACTTTGAAAGAAACTGTTTCAGTCTGCTGAATACACATGCGCTGGCTCGATTGTGCTGTTTTCCTCAAGCTTTCCAATAATTCAAAAGTGTTAGGTCCTTAGAGAGTATAGTTGCTTGTGTTTCCAGGACACAAAAAAATGGTTATTCCTTGGTAAGTGTATTTCTTAGCCTTTCAGTAACAGCTACCTCAATACTCTAGCGTTTAAGGCATATTTACACATATTTTCCATTTCAGCATTAACTGATACAAAAAGAAAGTGGGTCGTGGTATAATGTCCACACAATGAGAGACTCCTCTCTTAAAAGTGAATTTGCATGGTCTTGCAGAGCACAGGTGCGAGGTAACCACTCAGCTGAGCTCTCAGAAGAGGCCACCTTGTATTTTGATGCTCCTCTGTCACAGCATGGGTCCTAGACCCGAAATGCAAAAGCTTCTGCAAAGCACCCCTGGCAGGTGGCCATGTAGCCAAACCATCAACTCGTCCAGTGTCCAGTTCATCATGAAGACAGCCCACAACGCGTGCCGCGTTCCCAAACCGCTGCAGTCTCGTGTGACGGCGCTCGCCTAAATGTGCACCTGCTCACCTAGGTGACTTTCAAAGCCTTACTTCTTCCTTCCTCCCATGTGTCCCATCTGCACTCTTGCCTCAGGCCCCAGTTCGCCTCTTAAAGGACTCAAGCCCCATTCTGTGTGGTTTGACCACGGTAGAATCCTGGGGCAATAACCTCCTAGATCTCTACTCAAATATTTGCTAAGTACCCAGCATGTGCCAGGCACTTAACCATGAGTAAGACTGTGCACCTGGCTTCAGTAAGGTCACAGAATTCCATTAATGTCGTAATTAATGGTTTCAACAATTGCTTCAGGGTCATGGCTCATATTGAACTTGGAATAAATCAAAGTTCACATACATTATAGTCAGGGCAGAATAATTCCTTCCAACCGAAGTGCAGGGCTTTACAGATGCCCCTGTTGGCTTATACCAACATTTTGATTTTTGTCTTATTCTAATAACTAGCAGAACCCTGGCTGGTTATTAAGCAATTAATGTTTCACAGAAAAATACAGATGTTCTTTTAGTTCCTGTCTTGAAAATTAAGAACATTTTGAATTAAGGGCGAATTAGTTTTAGCTATAGTGATGAATACACTGTCTGAGTAAAAGAAAGACTGTGCCTTTTATGGTACTACACACGGGGTGGTAAATAAGGAACGTCTTTCTCTTTCTTTCAGCTGTATTTTTTTTTCCTGACAAACTCCTACGAACTTTTCAAGACAAGTGTGGATGGCATCACTGAAGTGAAGACTCCCAGAGCCTCAGACTAAGAGAAGACCCTTCCGTGTTTCTCCTTGCCCCTCCACGACTACCCCAAACCATGGCGACCATGGCGATGGCTTACTTCCCATTTTCGTATGTTCAGGGTGACCTCTGCATGTTAGGGACTGTCCTAGGTTTAGTACTAAAAATCTCGAGTCCCGGGAAGCCCTCAGTCCCAAGCAAACCAGAAAAATCGGTCATTCCACACGACAGTGTTTAATAAAACAATCATTTATGAAGGGCCGAAGTCAAATGCTGTACATCACGAGTATCACCTTATCTAAGTAGTCATGACAATCCCTTGTACAGAATGAGGTGAGCTTCACAGAGATAAGCACCTTGCCCCAAGGTCCCAGAGGACTGGGGTACAGTGTACCCACCAGCCATCTCAGGGCAGGGTGGGAACTAACTCCCCCAACAGTTCTCCATAAATATCCCAGAATCCTTCTCCATCCTTCCATCACCTGATCAGCTAGTGTGTTGGGTTAGCTCTCAATAAAGCCTCCAGGCATTTGCCAGGGACCCACGTGACCGGAAGACCATCTATAAGCACTAGGGTGGGGGCACAGGGAGCTGGGTTCCATCCCTAGTATGGGGGGTGACTTCACAGGCACGTCTGTAACTGAAGTTGCTTTTATCTAAGTTCCTGGGCAGAGCAGAGGATTTGAACACCAACACACTCAACAGCTGCAGTCCCCTCGCAGACACAACAGGGCTCCTCTCTTGGCCTTACCATTTAAAAACTTGGCCTTGGGCAGAAGAGAGAACCTAGGAGCTTCGGGATCACCTGGAGGGCAGAACTCAGAGTAAGACCATGGGCACCATTCCGGGGGGAGACGGTCCTCAGCTTCCAGGTTGACCCTGAAATTTGGAAATTACTTCCATCCTCACCCACCAGCACAGAGGGCTACACTGCAAAATCTAAATACCCGCGGTGCGCACACACTGCGGCCTGTGGCTGCGGCTGTCACCGCAGGAACACAGGTCTCCTGCCTTTTGGTTTGGGTGTTGCCCTTTTTCCTTAACCCAAGGCCAAATTCTCATTTCAGGGCGGTGGAGGCTACCGAGCAAATGCCCCCTCCCTCCAACCTCAAGTTAGAAGAAATGGAACTACGGGCCATTTTCCTCGGTTTTAAATCCCAAGCCCCAGAGAGAGCTCTGGATGGAGAAAACCGTAGCCATGAAGCAGGCGAAGGCCGAGTTCTCGCTGAGCCCTTGTCTGCATGAGCCTCCAGCCCTGGGGCGGCTCCTCCTTCCCGGGTGCCGTCTGAGCTCCCGTGCCAGGCAGGGGGCCGCTGGGCTGCTGGGAGCCACAGACCCTGCCGGGCGCCACTTCCACAGTTAATCAGTTTACCTGAGATGTGTATTTGGCTGTACCCCCCTGGAGACCTTCCTTGGCCACCCAGGGCCAGAGAATCATTTAAAAGCTCTTCAAAGCCGGGACTTTTCTCTCTGTCGGAGCTAGCCCAATGCTGGAATCGGGGACAGACTTTACTCTTCAAAGTGAGAACAAGAGCAAAAGGATTCAGCACTTGGTAGGTAGCCGATAAACGCTAACTTTGTTTCTCAAGTCGGGGCTTCCCCTCCCCTGGGAGAGCCAAACCCAGTGGTCCCTCGGTCGGAAACCCCACAAGACCTGGTGGCCTTCGAATGCGGAAACTGTAGTGGCCGCGTCCTTTCCCTTCCCAGCCCAGCGGAGCCACCTGTCCCTGGAGGAGTGGGAGGGACGCGGGGACTCCTGATGGGAGCGGACACTGAGGTGGCTGCTCTTTCTAACTCGGGAGAACAACAGGCCCAAGGCGAGCAAGCAGCCGCAAAGCCCGACTGGGGCGGTGCGGAGAAACCCATCCAGGTGTCCTGTGTTCCCAGACTCGACCAGCGGTGTCCACCTCGCCCGGGGCCCTGCGAGACCACAGCGTCCCCCCAGGACAGGCCCGGCGCAGCCCCAGTTGGACCCATGTCCCGGGGCCTCCTCTGCTGTCCCTGTGCGTCCGGTGTGAAATCCCCCACAGGAAAATCATCTGTCACTCCGAGGGATCCCCCAACAGGGCCGCCAAATGGCCCAGATCTCAGGCCCCAGCCCGTGTCACGCGGTCTTTGCGGAGGCTCCTGGCGGCTGGGGCCCGCCCCGCGGCCACCACCTCCTCCCCAACTCCAGCGTCTGCCTTCCTGTCTAGCCTGGAGCCTCGAAGGCGTCGAGCACCCCTTCCCGCCCCGCAGCACGCACACTGGCGAACAGGCGCGCCCGGCGGGGCTCACGCGCGCCTGCGCCCCTGTACTCACCGAGGTTGGGGTGTCGCGCGGCGGGGTTGGCCCGGCCGGGCAGGCTGTGCAGCACCGGGCCGTCGAAGGGGCCGGCGGAGGCGGCGGC